TTAAACTTACTGACAAATAATATATATATATATATATATATATATATATATATAAAAATTTGTTATCCAAATTAAATAAATTTGTTTTAGAACAATAAGGAGACTGACTGACTGACTGCAGAAGTGGCATCGGGTTTTGTGCTAAATGTTCACCCACCCCAATGCTCTTTAAAACCCACAAAATACGTTATAAATTAAATAAATAAATATTTCGTATCTATTTTATTTTGTTATCGGATACTACTAATCATTTTTTAATATTTAGACGATTAATATTTTTTTGGTCTCATATTAATTAATTAGTAATATTAAAAATAATTGTTGCGTATTCTTTTCGTTCACTATTAATTGTCATACTTTATATTTTTAGAGTTAAGCTTTAAAAATTTTGATTAATATTTTATTATATATTTTTTATCATATTGATATGCAAAAAATGCAATGCATAATACTTTTCGTATAATTTTTAAATATCTAAATTTTGTTAACATATTGAATTAATATAATCTAATTTAACTTTGAAAATTAGTCAATTTTGACTTTCAAAAAATGTAATATGACAAAAAAAAACTAGACAATGGAAATATTAGTTAATCATCTTACTAAATCAATAAAATATTAATTAAATTTTTCTATATTACCCTTGCAATTAATTCTTTATGAAAGTGTATATATTTGCCTGTAAGTTTTCAAGATGATTTTTAAGGAGTAAATAATAAAATTATCTTGTTATTTATAATTTCTTAAGCATCATGCAAGATGAAAACTGATCAACTAAAAATATGAGACAAAAAGAATATTTGATAAGGATAATTTGATAAAATTATTTATATCTGTGTTAAGTATTATTTTATTTTACAAGGGTAAGTGGAGGACTATTATTAAATGGAAGAAGCACTAATTACTACATTGTTTATTTTAGTATATAAGTTGTTGACTCTTCCATGTTAATTAATCTTGTTGTCCAATAATCCCATTATAATTATCCCACGACTACTTAAACTTATATATTCTTAATAAAATAAACGAAAAACTATATGCTAGGTAAAATTATAATTATTAGGTCGCAGTTTTGATCTTAGTGTCAGTGTACTATTTAGATTGACATGATATAAAATTATTTTAGTATTTTTAAACAACCTTTCCTCAATTAATGAATTCTAGTTGATTGTTTCGCACGCCATATTTTATTGAATTATCTATTTCATCTTTCATACGATATTAGTTAATTATTATTTTGATATAAATAATATTATAAAATAATCTTGAAATTAATCAATATTTATAATCAATTATATAATAAAATGCATAAAATAATTTTATATTTTAATATTTAAAATTATTAAAATAAGTGTAATTTTGAGTTATTTCTTTGATATCTCGAGTGTCTCATTCTAAATCGCCAAAAAGAAAAAATAGTATATAGTTCTTTAACACGAAAGAAAAGATACATGCATAATCCATGATAGTTTGAGCAATAAAAATAGATAGATTTCGTCTCTCTTGATTAGAGATTTTGAGTTTAATTTTAAGAATAATTACATTTAAGTGGCTTTCAACGAAGAACGAAAATTTGGCTAGACTCTTCCATAATAGCACACTTCAATTTGAAGTAATGATCGTGAGTATATGTATGACTATGCTTATTATATTGCTACGTGAAAAGCGATTAAAAAAAGAACTAAAATCGTTATAGTAACAGCGATTTAATATTAAAAAAAATAACAATAATTTAAGTAAAATCTATACAAAGGTAGCGATTTACTACCATTTAAAAAATTTAAAGTAGGCAGGATTTTGAACCATTAAAAAAATTAAAGTAGATTAAAAAAATTGGAGAAAATAGAAAAAAAAATTTACACAAATTTTATTACACAAAAATAAGCATGATTATTTTTATGAGTGATTTTTTAAAAAATTAAAAAGAAAACAAAAGATTATGGAAATCGCTGCCAGTGCAGCGATTTGATTAAACCTTTTTAAAAAATACAAATTTTTTTGAAAATCGCCGCAAGTACAGCGATTTAATTAATTTTTTTGTTAAAAAAAAGAGTATAAAATCGTTGAAGGTAGAGCAATTTAATTAATTTTTTTTAAAAAATTGAAAATCGCTGCAAGTGGAGCGATTTAACTAAATTTAAAAATAAATAAATAAAAAGTGTAAATGCTCCCACAATAGCGTTTTACTAAAAAAATATTTTTAAAAAATTTTTTTTGCAGCGATTTGCTTTTAATTTTTCTTTTTTTAAAAAAAAATTAAAGGCAAAACGCTGCCTAGGCAGCGTTTTATTAAAAAACCATTAAAAAAATTATTTTGGAAATTGCAACCTTGACAGCGATTTCTTTTAAAAGTTTTTTTTTTAAAAAAAATCAAATTTATCAAATCACTGCTATAGCAGCGATGTTGCTTTTTCCGGCGAACTAAATCATTGATATTCCAACGATTTTACCGTTCTGGTTAAAATAAAGTTCATATACCATTTTAAAATTTTTATTAACATTTTATACCCTTTAGATTTCGAACTCATCTTTTAACCACATTCCTCCATTAATGAATTCTAATTGATTGTTTGGCATACGATATTTTATTGAATTAACTATTTCATTTTTTATATCAAATTAGTTAATTATTGTTTTGATAAATAATATTATAAAATAATCTTGAAATTAATCAACATTTATAATCAACCATATAATAAAATGCGGGACAAAATATTTTTACATTTTAATATTTGAAACTATTATCCTTATTATGTATCGAGAATGACCCTTTAGTTATTTAAAGAGCCGTAATAAGTGCAACTTTTAAGTTATTTCTTCGATATCTCGTGTGTCTTATTTTCAACCCCAAGAAGAGAAATAGTATATTAGTCTTTAACAAGAAAAAGAAAATACATGCATAATCCATGATAGATTAAGTAATAATAGTGAGATAGATTTCGTCTCTCTTAATTAAAATTTTGAGTTTAATTTTTAGAATAATTACACTCAAATGGTGTTCAATGAAAATTGAGAATATAATTTGAACCTGCAATATTCATATAATGAGATTGATAAGTTGATCATTTATTACTTTTACCCAAACTTATGAGTTACAACATTGCACTTCTAAATTTTGATTAGCTATGTTTAGTGACTGAGGCGAACTTCAATCTATTCTATGTCTTATCTTATTAGGTTAATATAATAGAATCTCTTTGAGCATAAATAATTAAAAAAGTGAAGTTATCGTGAAGACTAGCAAAAAAGTTACTAAAATGTTTTTATCCGTCTACAATCATGCCTAGTTGATTAGTTCATCAAGATCAGCTATCTAAAAATAGATTTTATATAACACAAATAAAAATTAATCGAACCAATAAAATTTAAAACTCCCATTATTAAAGAAGAAGGCATAAATAAAGTAGACAAAAATTTAGTTTATGAAAGTGGGTTGCACGCGGAGTTCCAATTAATCTCCATTTCTTTTCAATTTAATTTTTTCGAAAATAACTTTTTTATTTTTATTAGGTAAAATAAAATTGGTGTACATTCTAATTTGTTTTTTTTTCTTTTTGCAAATTTCACTTGGTATTTTAGTAGTTATACGATTGCGCATGGTATGTGATAATCAATTCTGTAATCTTGCATAACTAAAATCTGAAGTATAGGTTATAAATCCATTCTACAGATGTATATTATTTCATGAAAGGTAGAAAATAAAATATTAAAAGGTCATTTGATTATGGATTAGAGTTATGCAAAAATAATTATGTAATTAATAATTCAAGAAGTAGTTAATTAATGCAAAATTTAGTTATATGTATATAAATTTCTCTCATAAGTTATACATTATACAAGTTTATGATGTATAAGTTTTATACCTAACAACTAAAAATACTACAAAATGTAGTACTGTAATTTTGCGATCCTAATACTTGAACAATTTTACTCCTAACAAACAACCAAAAAATCCCTAATACTCATGAATTAGTAATACATAAATAACTAACACGAATTAATAATCCCCTACATTTCTAATACGAAACACCTACATAACTTAGATAGCAAGCAGGACAATACTCCGTTTGTTTCATAAAGGTAAGTGTAAGATTAGCGCAGACATCATCCTCTCCTCTCCTTATGAAACTACCTTTAAACATTAAGGCAACACACACCATTATCCCAACATCCCATATGACAATACACCATGTGTTTCGGTACAAGTAAAATTAGCGTACACTCATCCTTTTAGCGCACATATCATCCTACCCCACTAGTGAAATTATATTCATCGTCTTAGCACATATCATCCTACCCCACTAGTGAAATTACATTCATCCTCTTAGCGCACATATCATCCTACCCCACTAGTGAAATTACATTCATCGTCTTAGCACACATATCATCCTACCCCACTAGTGAAATTACATTCATGCGCTTAGCGCACATATCATCCTACCCCACTAGTGAAATTAACTCCACAACCGCATAAGACCTGCACATATACCATCCTCATTACACTGGACATGTTGTAATCTCTAACAGTAGGGAGTAACTGTTTGAAACTACATTTAGATTCACAAAAAACACAAGACCATTAAACTTTTGGTTCTATAAACTTTGAATCACCTTTTTGTGAAACAAAAAAAACCTTGCATGATGGACAATATCAATTATCATGTCCCCCAAAATGGTGCAACAGAAGCACAACCAATAGAAGATCAAATATCTTAACTAAGAGCCTCCAATGCTTAGGAGACCAGATTCAGCTTTTGGGGCCACAATTATTGCTGCAAAGTATAAGAAAAAAGATCTTCCCATAAACTAATTGAACAATTACGCCCCAACAAATAAACCAATAGTTACAACATCTATTCAAAACTTAAGGGGGAGACTGTACAATTCCACCTCAACCCACATCATTATCCTGCCCTATAACCAGCAAGACAGAAAAAAAAACAATGCTACAACACCCTTCTAAAGGTGCCTATCGACAAAGTAAAGAACAATTTATCTTTGTCATTGATGGCTCAACTTGCGCTTCTTTTGTTTTCTCAGTCGCTCCCGCCTTTCTTCTTCTTCTATCTTCCGGAGTTCTTCTTCATCCTCTTCCCTTGCTATTTTTGCACTGAGGAAAGAAAGCAGGTCAGGTTTGTTTTTTAAGTACTATCAACTATGCACAAACACGAGCATTATTTATATAAAACTTCTATATCAGTCTTAAAAGGAGACTACGAACATCATAGTTGAATAATTATAGCCAAAAAATGAATTTGAAAATAAGTCTGCCCTAAAAGACATGTTACCAACCTCCGCCTTTCTTCCTTCAAAATTTCATCGAAATTAGCCTCCATATCACTAACATCATCATCGTCACGGTACCTATTTGGATTATACCTGGAAAACAGACACTTCTATCAGCCAAAAAGACATGGTAACATTAACATAAGCAATAACCCAAACTAGAAACATGTTTTCCTAAGCTTTTAACTGAATGAAGAACCATTAACAAAATATATTTATCTCTAAACCCTCGGTTACAATCCAATCAGAGGAATATAAAAACAATCAGTTCGATGATGGATCCACTATCAGTATGATAGTTACTTTTACTCAAATAGGCAATTTGCAAAGGGAATGTGAACTTTTCAAACCCCTTTAAACCTCAACTTAGAGGAACAAGACATAAATCTGTAGCGGAAGCAAGAAAGGAAAAATATATACGTACCCAAACATCTCCCTAATCATACTAATGGCTTGTTCTCCATCATCTTCTTCATCATATCTCGTTGGTTTTCTTGCTGGGCGTCTATCATCTTTTTGTTGATGAACTGGGCGCCTCTCTTCTTTTCGCTGAAGTGCTGGGCGCCTGTCATCTCTTTGCTGAAGTGCTGGGCGTCTGTCATCCCTTTGCTGAAGTGGGCGCCTGTCATCCCTTTGCTGAAGGGATGGGCGCCTGTCATCCCTTTGCTGAAGGGATGGGCGCCTGTCATCCCTTTGCTGAAGGGATGGGCGCCTGTCATCCCTTTGCTGAAGCGATGGACGCCTGTCATCCCTTTGCTGAAGTGATGGGCGCCTTTCATCCCTTTGCTGAAGTGATGAGCGCCTTTCATCCCTTTGCGGAAGTGATGGGCGCCTTTCATCTCTTTGCTGAAGTGCTGGGCGTCTATCGTCCGAGGGACGTGCTACATTTCTAGGAGGTGGTGGTTTTATCTATTCGGATCACAGAACTCAATTAGTAAATTCTGAAGGTCAAAAAGTTAATAAGGAATAAGCCAAAATTTAACCCCACCCAACTAAAATATATTTAATTAGTTAAAAAACAGGACCCTAGAAAGAAGAAAACATTATATAAAAATCAAGGCACAGCTTACCTGAGGTCTAGCCAAGGAAGCTTGTTGTTTCTGAATCACCGCCTGAGGTTTGGAGACAGGGACACCTTGTTTTGACATCACTTTTGACTTGCCAGATTCCAGTGGTAGCCTGTTCTGTACCGAAGATTGCCTTGGTACAGCGGGTTGCACTCTTGAAGGGGTTGGCCTGTGGGAAGCAGGCACAGTACTCTTGGAGCCTGGTGCCCCAGTAACCTTGGGGGACGCCCCTTTTGGCCGCAAAGGCGGCCGTCCAGGCCCACTTCCATTACTGCTACCGAACTGTTTCCTAGAGTCTAACATTTGTTGAGTCGGTTTATTAATAGACACCGATTTTTGAATCACAGCTTTAGGTTGCCTTTGGCCGTCTCTTCTCATTTCACGATCATCTAGAAGCTTTCTCCCACTATCACTTGAAGTCTGCTTTCCGAACCGTGCATCTTCAATACCACCAAAAACCCTGAATAAGTTTCTCGATAAATATAGCACGTTGAGACAGATTTTATCAAATAGAAACATGAATAAACAGTGACCAGGAGCGCACCACAATAAGGGGCAGACACTTTCTGAGTTAAAGAACCTCTTGATGGACCAGGAAGTTCAGCATCATCAGATAATAGAAACGAATAGTCCCTTGTATTTTTTACCATATCGATCTTTCTTTTTAACTACAGAAAATTAAATGACATAAAAATCCTCAGTAAAATAAAGAGAACATTACAAGAAAAATTAAGAGAAGTGTTGAGAAATTGCACTGATTGATGTATTACCCCATTTGTGACTTTTGGTGCATGGTTGCTGGTGGAAGCTCTTGATCCTGCAGGTTTTGCAGGTTTTGAAGCAACACTCTTATTGCTCTGCTGGAAAGGCAAGGGTAAGCATCAGATGAACTGTAAGCCAAGACCAAAAAGGAAAAGGATACATGCGCTAAAAAAAATCTATACTTTCACCAATTAACATGACGACAATCACCAGGCAGAGCATGTCCCACAAGAATATCTAGTGGAAAAATGTTATAATGGGTTACATCATTCTATTAGTGTGATTAGAAGTGGAAGCTAAAGCTGAGATGACCTTAATATGCGAGTAAAATACTCCTAGAAGAGCATCGACCTAAATTAACATAGTACTTCCATAACTAGACGACATTTTTAACCAGTTGATATGAGCTAATAGATTTTCCCTTTCATTGTTCCTAACTTAAATTAGCCAAGTCTGCATGGGAATCAATGAAATTGTATGTCTTCTCGCAAAAACAAAATTGTACCAGCAACTTGATATGAGAAATTCGTACACATACCGAATGGTTAGATTTCATGACTTTAGCTGCCAGATTTGGATTCTCCAGTAGAGACTTGCTTTCTTGGATCACTCTGTTAGAGATAACAGGCTGTGAAGGTCCAAAGAAGGAACCAAAACTGCAGGATCAGATAGACGGTAAGACAAACCATGAGCCTCAAAACCAAAACATAATATAAACTTCGCCTAAAATGATGCACCATTACACCAGTACAAAGAGAACCACTTCTCTTTGTCCAACTACATCATCTTTCTCTAACAAAAGCATCAAAAGAATAATTCAGAACAGGCTAATTCTCAAATCCCTTCACAGATGCACTCAGTATAATTCTACAAGAGAGAGCACAACCATCTTCCCAAGGAAAAAATATGCACAAAATATTTTCCACTTAACTGATGCAATAAAAGTGCATAATAGAAATCTATGCACGAGATCTAGCACATTGTTACAAGCACCTATTAATAGAATTATTAGACTGCGTTAACAACAAATAAATTCTGTGAAATGGGTAACTTCAAAATCAGAGCACTTGAGTAGTATCACATCAACATACTAGCGGCACTCACTTATCCCTGGATGATGCATTCTTTTTAAAATCACGAGAACCACCACCTAGTTCTTTCTTCCTCTGCTTCCTGATATCATCTTTTAACCGTTGCCTCAGCTCCAGGTACTCTAACAACTCCTGTGAAGGCTGTTGAGGCTCTTCATCCTCATATTCCTCTTCACCAGCCTCTTCCTCTTCACCTTCAGTCTCATACTCATCCAAATACGAATCATCATATTCCTGCATGAATGTAACTAAGTGGTCAAATGAAAGTATATCAATTGACTATGCCTCATCCCAATTTCCAAATCAATCAAAGAATCTGCTACATGAATCCTTTATATCCATCCTATCCAATTTAGGTCTATTTCAATCCAATATTAAATAATTTTTCTTTCAAGGAAAATTACGGTTTTCCTAAAACTAAAGACTTTCCATTTATCAAATCAAACACTTGTGCCTACAAGCTGATATAAAAGCCACCGATAAAAAAAATGGGAAACAGAAAAGGACATATAAGCTTACATCTCCTTCATATCCCCGCATAGCTGCTTGGGAAGGCTGACCTGACCCTGGAGATCTCCGAGAAAAACAAATAGCTGAATTCCTGAAATAAAAGATAGAATGACATATTACCACCAAGTGTGAACAAGAAAGGAACTTGGAAGACATTCAACCAGGAAAGTTAACAGGAAAAGTTATGCCAAATAGCTTGATCTATTTGGGACAATATTCAATGGACATCACATTGAATCAAATTAGGAGACAACAAACCAAATAAATGAAGGTGCTGTTTGATTTTCTAAAATCTTGCAAAAAGTTCTTCCAAAATATTTCTTGTCTCAGTTTTTCAAGAGTTTTCACAACAGAAAAAAGTTTAAATCGTTATCTAAGAAGAAATTTGAGGGTGTTTTTCAAGCAAACGTTTTCTTCCATCACAAAACACTGACATATCATCAAAGGAACTATAACTATCCAAACATCCTTACTTTGCACCATTTTTTTCCCAAAAGCATTTACTCATTGAAATATTCAATAAAGTTGCTCAAACAGCTCACAAAGATCAGATCTTGACCAAAAAAATCAGAAAAACATGAACCAATCTACTTGCGAATTCGCTTTTCCACTCACCTTCCTTAAATGTATAGTACCAATTCACAAAAAGACACCAAATTTTACAAAACTTGCAAGATCTCTTATCCTAATTCATCAAAAAATTATAAAAATAACAAAAATAATCGAATGGATGCAAAAACAAACCCTAGACACATCAAGCTCAATCCTAAAAATCCAATAACAGAGACACCAAAAACTTCAAGATTTCTTAATCCTTGTTCATAAAAAAAAATTAAGAAAAAATTCAAATCGGTAAAAAAAAGTCAAACCCTAACCAAATCAATCTCAATCCTACAATTCCAAAAATCATACGGCAAAATCTAAGGAAAATTTTGGAAAAAAATTAGAAAAATAATAAAAACAAAACCTGTATCGATCCAATTAACCAAAAGTGTAAATCACAAAAAAAAGCGAAAACCCTTGAGAAAAAATTATAAATTTTTTTTATCTGTATCGATCCAATGAATCAAATGAAATTCAAAAATCATAAAAAAGCAAAATCTCATCAGAAAAAAAGAGGAAAAATTCGTATAAAAGTATAGCTGTATCGATCTAATGAATCAAATGAAATTCAAAAATCAAAATCTAATCAGAAAAAACCCGAAAAAAAAAGAGGAGAAAATAATAAAATTTACCTGTATCAATCAAATGAAATTCAAAAATCATACAAGAGCAAAATCTAATAAAAAAAATTAGTAAAATTTACCTGTATCGATCTACCGAAATCCGAAAAAAAGCATTGATTTTTCTTGGAGAGAAGTGAACGAATCGTTTCAGGATCTGAAGAATTGAGCGGTTTTGATGCGATATCGTCGGTGAATAAGGGATTATTATTTGGGAGAAAAAGGAAGATAAAGCTCTTAGGGCAAACTAGAGATGAGGAGGCAAGGCTATCGTGCGCTGGGGTGTGTTGTATATACCCGAAAACGGGCTCAATTTCGAATGAGCCCATACTTAGAATTTCAATTGTTTCATTACAACATTCTTTACTAATTATAACCTCCTCACAACCATTTTTAGCCATCAAAATTATCTTTCTACTTAATTAAACTCAAATTTTCATATCTATAATCTTTTCTACCAACAAGGTTGTGGCTCGAAACGATCCATCTTTTAAACGTATTATTTCATAATGTATTGTATTATATTATAATAATGTTTTAATGAATATATGTTTAGATAGAATGTATTGTTATATGTTGTTACATAGTGTAACACATTCAGAAAATTAATAATAAAGTTATTAATAATTAATAAAGATAGAATGAAAACAAGGTAATTTCTTATTTAACCCATAATGACATGGATGAGTCTTTTCTCAAACGAAAATGATACAAATGAGTCAAACATTTAACTAATGACATAGATGAATATTTTTTCAAAATTCGGTGATATATTTGAGTATTTTCTCTTATAAGATTAATACCTAACTGGTCGTTGTACACACATAATTCTTGATCGAACATAAGGTTTTATACTTTTTTTTATTCCTTAAATATTTTTTTTATGTTTAAGTTAGATATTTTAGTTGTCTTAATTTTATTAAGTTATTTTTATAGATTCGAAAACAACAAAAATAGAATCATCTTTTAAGATAAGTTTTATTTAAATTGTTAAAAAAAATGAAAAGTTACAGAAATATATCCTCTTATAATTTAAATGTAATAAATAAACTAGTGTTTTTTAATTATATTTTTAATTAGCCATTTAGTTTTTTAATTGGTTCTAGGTAATTAATATTGATTATTTATAATTTTGATATATTTAAATTATACGAATATTATCCATTATCATCACATCTACCACAACTCTACTATCACTTCCCACACTCTCACATGATCCTCTTCACTCACTCTCACACTCACATACACTCCTACACACTATATATATACACACAAACAAAAAAAAAATTCAGCAAAACATACAAAAAAAAAAAGGAAGGATTAGAATCACTCCCAAATCAGAAAATTTTCAGCAATAAAAAAATCAAAAACAACCCACACACAACAAAAGAAACAGAAAGGAAAAAGAAGGAAAAACACAACACACATTCACATAAAAATTGTGAGTGTTCTACTTGAGGTTTGATTAAGATTTTACGGTATTCAATTTTTTCTTGTCTTTTTTAATTTATTGATGAAATTTGATGTAATTTTATGACAAGTTTTTTATATTTTGTTTTATTTATTAATTTGATTGAAATGATTAATTTGTTAGTTGTTATATCCCTATTTCATGAATGTGGGTTGCATTGATTGATAATTTTTTTAATTTATTTTTATTTTTATTTTTATTTGTGACCGTTTAAAAATAACGGACAGTAAAATTATTCCGATCTTGATTTAAATAATAATGATGAAGTATGTATGGTTAGGCTAAAAATAAATAAATAAATAAATAAATAAATTATTGTTGTTTTATTTTAACAAACAAAAAATGAGATTTATTTTTAACAATGTGTTATTGCTTGTTTGAATAGAAAATATATAATGATGAAGTATGTATGGTTAGGCTTAATGTTGATGTTAATTATAAGGTAAACAAAATATTGAAATGTAAAACAAAAAGATATGAATATGATCCAAAATTTTATCCTAGAATTCAAGTATTTTATTTTATTTTATTTTTCTTTAAAAAGATTTAAGTATTTTCTTTAACTTTACACAATCATGTAGGCACATAAAAAATATTTATTTTTTTATTAAGAATGTGGTTACACTTTTTTTTTTGAGAGCATTAAAAATAAACTCAAGGATGCAGTGATTCACCTTGTCCAAAATTTCAATTAAATTTTATTTATTTGAAGTATAGGTCTATAGAAAACAAGGTGGTGGAAAGAAGACAGTTATGTCTCTAATCGTGAAGACCACGAATACGGTTACGTATCTAGATCGAGACCAAATAAAAGTTCATCAATAAAAATGCAAATAATTTATGGCTTATAAAATATATCCAAAATAGTAAAATAAGTATAATTCAATTAAGCGACCGTGCTAAAACCACGGGACTCGAGGAATGCCTAATACCTTTTCCTCGGTTAACAGAATTTCTTATCCGAATTTCTAGTATGCAGACCATAATAAAGAGTCATTTTCTTTTAATTGGGGATTAAACAAAAAAGTGACTTGGAACACCATAACTCAATTTCAAGTGGCGATTCTAAAAAAAATAAAATAACCCCTAATCAATACTATCACTTAAATTAAAAAAAATCTTACGCCACCACACGAAAAAGGGGTATGACAGTTGTTTGGTAGTTGGTCTAAATATGAGTTTTGAAAATGTTAAATCTTGCCTAAGTAATACCACATTTGATAACTGATCCGAATGTAAGTTATGTATAAAATTAATACAATATTTCATTTGCAATTTATAAATTCCCATAACTAATACATGTATAAGTTATGAGGAAATCTATGCATATATTATTTTATAAAGGATAAAAGATAAAATAAGTAAACGATATATAAAATTATAATAGATCCCATTATTAACTAATTCATATATTTCTAATATTTACATGATTCTAACCAGTAATGCAGCGATTCTAACTTAATTTTTGATAAATAAAATAATATTAAATAGATATTATTGAAGCACAAAGAATGATAAAAATCATATACACATTGCACAAATAATACATTTTGACCTGTAGGGAAAGAAATTGGTTGGAAGCCTTCTCATTTTTTGTCAAATGATCAGTAGGCAGCAAATTTTAAATGATTGGAAGTTGCCTATTTTAGTTTTGAGCAACAAATTGGTCACTGCATACAAAATTAAATTGAACTTAAATTAGGGGATGATATTGAAATCAATTTAAAGATTCTTATGAATAACGTATTACAAAATGAGAAATAATAAGTAATAATATAAAAAAGAAAAAGTAGATATGAAGTATAGAAAAACAAGACATAAAAGTTCTCTTATTCTTTTAAGTTGATTTTAGTATTTCAGAAGTGTCTATAATATGATGTCTCGTGTTTCTATTTATATTATTATATAAACTTATATTAAAAAAATAGTTATAAACATGGTATCAACTATGAAGGTTAATTATCAGAAAAAAATCATGAAAAAAGGTTGAGGTAAGTTAATATCATATCAGTAAAAACTAACAAAATTTATGTCTAAAATAATTAGCATCATTTCATATCAATATAAACATTATTGCATTGGTATAACATTTTGAGAAAGCTAATACAATTTTAAAGAAATAGATGAGATATAAATATATTTAACTTATTTGTCGAGTGTTAGAGAGAAAATGTACTAAAGATAATTATAGTTGTAAAGAGACACAAAGATGAAGTCAGAATTAAGATTATTTTGGGTTCTAAATTTCTTTAGTAACTGTCAATCAATTTTGTTAAGGGTTCACAGATTAATATATATATAAATTTATCAACATAGAATATTGACTTTGATCAAATTTCTTAACTTTTAAACATTCAAAACTGACAAACTCGTTCAATATATGTTTAATCATCTTGAAAATCATATCACCCTTCCCTGCATGTCACAAATAATTTTAAAAAAATTATTGAAAGGGTAAAAATTGAAAAAATACATGAAAAAAAATCAAACGACTATGAGGATCACTGCAATAGCCTTCAAAAGCTAAACGATCAAATTATTTCTTACCTAACACTTCATTTGTTTGCACTTAGGGAATGTCTTAATCTTAATCATTCGAATATATATATATATATATATATATATATATATATCATAGTAGTA